CTGATTTTTTTTTTCTTTGGTTTTCTTTACTTTCAGTGGAGATCAGACAGCGTTAAGCTGCTGATAGTAAGAGATTACTGGAATAGATTGGTAAATGGAATGTTGTCCGTTATAGTAATATAGTTGGGTCTAATTAAGTGATGTGGTAGTTTTTTTTTTATAAGGTATTCTCGTGTTTTCATATTTCCCAAATTTTTATCCAAAATTTATGCTGAACTGAAAAAAAGGGATGACATGTACACTACGATAACATTGATATCTGAATAAAAAAAAAATTACTCGCTGAAGGCCCATCATGCCTATTTATAGGGATGTTTGGTACTGTGGATATTCTCAGAAATAGAATTCTAGTGTTTTGATTGAAATTAACAGAGCTTGTTAATTTCAACATACATTCATGTCACATAGAGAAATGATTGATTATATGGAGCATAATTGAGAGGGATATTTAATTATCCGTTGCCTCTACACCGTTGAGAAAGTATCATGGCGTGTTAGTGGGGGAGGAAAAGACCACGCGGTAATATTAGTTGGCATTTTTTCTTATTCTCATAACATAAAATGTTATGTAGCTGTTACTACCCCATATCCATCATCGTTACCAACAAGTTCCTTCTTTTTCGAATGTTTATCTACCTCTATGCGGAAAGCAGTTGTAATTTGAGTGATGCGTGCATGTTTGTCTGTTTTCATAATGTCTTTTCCTCCCCTCTATCTCCGTAGTCTACTTTTCTTAGAACCTCCTTTCTTTTCTTCATTCATTCATTCTTTAGAACACATGCCGTAGAATTCCCTTATTAATTGAATGTTCTTTTAAAAAAAATTATTGTACATAAAATATCATTTGTAATTTTTGATTTCGATGTTTGGAACTAATTTGTCAATGATGTATCTTGAAATTTCAACTTCTCTTCGTCACAATGTGTCCTGTTACTACTTTCGTTGTTGGAATACATTTTGTAGGGAAATTTTAGAGATCAGGGAAGGAATTTCTGGCATTCGTTCCCACTATGCTATATCCGTTTTATTTTTTGTTGTTTATGAAATTCCTGGTTATTATTATTGACGCATTCTAAAGTGTAGATGATTTTTCATCCGCAATTAGTTTTCAATTACAGAAGCAATTTTTTAAGCCAGTTTTTACGCATTTTCTCCATTCATTATTTCATAAAGGTAAGGAAAAGTAATTATTCAGTGTTATTCATTGCTAAAAATGACTACTAGTGTTGGTACTTTTTACGATTGAGGGACGTGACTTACATATAGGCAGCGTATTCCACTTCGAGATTGCGGAAGTGTTTTTGGCAGTAAATATAAAAAAGTTTTATGAATATGTAGAACTGTCCAGAAGTAATCACTTTCCCTTGAAATCTTAGTGTGGAAGTGGGAAATTCAAGGGATGATATGGTGTGTGAGCCAGCCGTCATTCTATGCCCATTGGTTAAGTGATTGCGCAAATTGTTCGCTAGTGATGTAGTCCAAGGAATAGGAAGTAAAGGGCGAGGGAGAATTTATTGGAGTGGTGTGTGGATATTGAGTGTTATAATAGCCATAAGCGGATGGTATATCTAAATAAGCGAAATGAGCGCTGAAGTTAAAAATGTTTCATATCCCGTAACTAAGGGTTACTCGGGGATATTTTTTATGCTTTGTTGGACCAATGTAGAAGGTTCTGTTGGTTTATCGGTTAGCTTAAAGATAAATTGTGTTTGTGCGATATTCGAAATGTCATTTCCTCGGCATTTTGATTCGATTTGTGAATATTGGATTTTTTACTTACAAACTATATTTTTTTGTTTGAAGCATTTATGAGTGTGTTGCATATCCAAGGGCTATTTTAGTTACAATAATAATCATTAATGCAAAATTGATTCGCCCATTGCGTTGGTACTTTCTGTTGTGATCTTTAAAATTTTGATATATGTAATGTCTGGTATTGAATTCGAGTTTATTTGGTAACACTTTTGCGAGCAGACCTTACACAGAATTTGATGTATGACAACGTCGTTAGCAGGGGTCGCAAATTTTGCTGATAGGAGCTATAAATTTTAATATAAAGTGAGATTTTGTTGATCTCGTTACTTTACATTTTTTTCTTTGTCAATGTGGCATTCTTTTCCACCTTTCAATTTCATGTGTTCATTTTTACATGTTACGTGGCGCGTTTCATTTACGTTCTGTTTTTTGGCACAATAATTATGGCATTGTTTTGATTAATGCGATACTTTAACACATGACGATATAAGTATTCCTATATGTTTGCATCAGATGAAGAGCATTCAGTGATGCAACAAAACTGAATCGTAGTGATCCGTTGGCTGTGCAAAAGAAATCGAAATACTGGGTGTGGGATGACAACAATTTGGGAGGTTAGTTTACCCATTTAGTAATTTGAATGGTGAAAATTATGAAAACAAACAGGTTCTGGTCGATCTCGGCATGGATTAGCATGCATATATGTTTTCTTACACAACTGGTTTTTGCATGTTCACCACAATTGAACTACTCGAAGAGAGCTGGAATACACTGAGCGAATTAGTGCATGAAGTATAGCGTTTTTAACATATGGTAATTAAGGTTTTATGAAGTAGAGTATCACTAAAATGGCTACTCTGCGACGACATTTATCATCTGTACTTTCTTAAAAGCAGATTATCAGCATATGAATATCTTTACAAGTTACGGTAGTGTTATTGGAACTCTTATTAACATGTTTGGCATAGTTGTTTTGACTGAAGTCATTTTATACTATTTTCACTAGTTATTTCATTTGAAAATGATCATTCCATTGATGTTCTACCGGGGAATAAATGATATCAGAAATTTCAAGTTATAACATTATATAACTCTGTAATGAATATTTGTCGCCGCTGGGAGTTTGCACTACATAATTGGAAGGATGGAAAAGAAACATGCGATCGTACATTTTTGTCAAGAAAAAAAATTGTCCACCTGTCGTTTTCTTTGATCAAATAAGTGACATCTATCATTTTTTTTATGAACTAAGTGGCAGATATGTTAGTTGTTCTTTAACAAGAACCATTTTATTCTATCATGAAACTTCTATTTTCGTTAATTCACTATTACGATTGCCGGAGAAGTCCCAGCAAAGTTATCCGAGGGCTTACTGTTAATTATGAATAGGCTTGTAGATTTATTTAGTGAAATTACAAAGTAGAGAATTTGTAGTGGAATCCGTTATTACGAACGAATAAAGGAACAAAAACAAATGTATGCTTTGTTCATTAAGTTGCTGCATTCAGAAAAGTATTACAAACACTGTTTCTTGGACGGATATTTTTGGTTATATAATTTTTAAGTATGTTAGAGTTCTAAAAATTATAAATTTGACCATTGATAGTCGATCTAGTAGATAAAAAAGTGTATGTTCAGTTTCACTGTTATTACCAAAGTGATGCAATTGAATGCCATAATCCTGATTGCATTACTTTTGTATACGTAGCACATTTGTTGATGGGACTATGCTATAATTAAACTTAACTGAACATATTGGCATTTCTTTAGAATTTCCATGGATATTATAAAAGTTGATTAACATTACTATGTAAATTTAATCGTGCTTTGAAAAGTTGATTGTGTGAATTTAATCTTGCTTATTGATTTCTGTCAGGTGCTCTATCCGTTGTTATGGTTATTACTGCCTTGGTATTTAGATTATAGTCTAATAAAATATGAAATAACGTCTCACCTACATACTTCAAGCATTTTTTTCTTTTTGAAATAAAACACTGAGTTGTTAGAGGAGTAAAGTAATTTGTTAATGAAGTTTTTTATATTTCGGTGAGATTTGTTGACCTCATCGTAACGCAAGTAACATTTTGATATATCATCCCTGATAGAAATGATGTCGTAGAACGATCAAAATGTAATTTTAGAACAGAACATGTGAACAGTTCATCTGAGATTTACTTATTTAACTAATATTTTTATCAAAAAGCAATAAGCATTATGTTTTTAAAATCATATATATATATATATATATATATATATATTGACTGCTCTTGGGATTGATGTATGTTTTAAGAATTTATTCAGTATTGAGCACTTGATTTTGAGGATAGATACAACGTGAATGACAATTTAGGCTTACTTTTTTGATTTAAGTAAGTGATGGAAGCAATCATCGTTACCATTACTGTAAGTCATTTTTTTATTCCAGTAATTTTCGTCGGAACTTTTATGAAATTTATTGAGCATTTTAATAGAATGACACTTTATTAAATTTGAATTCTATTAAGATTAATTATTAGGAAACTTCTTGAATTTCCTGAACCAGTGAATTTATGTCAGGTTTGATGAATTTCCTGAACCAGTGAATTTATGTCAGGTTTGATGAATTTCCTGAACCAGTGAATTTATGTCAGGTTTGATGAATTTCTGACATACGTAAGACATAATGCCATACATATACAAGGTATCCGACACAAATGACTCCCTGGCTCTGATTATTATTTGTAATGCTTGGCTATTTGCAGTGGAAAGTGCTATGGATATATTTCATATGACATTTCAAAAACTTTCTGTGTTGAATATAATTGTTTATATTGGACGACGACTTATTATTGTTGACTTATCTTCACCTCCTAAATTCCAGTTTTAAGCATTGTCTAACTATCACTTCAATTCCAAAGCAAATTTATCTCATCACAACTTTTATGTAAATTAATAATTCGATTCCACTTAAAGTACCGAAGACTAAATCGATCATATGGCAATAAACTTTCTCTCTTTCTAGCAACCCTGCCATTTCTTACCTCACCCTGAAGACATCTGCGCAAACCCTCTCCAGCTCTGTTGTGACTCTCTTGTCTCCTCTGTCACATCTAGAAGATGCAGAGAGAGAGAGAGAGAGAGAGAGAGAGAGACAGACATATACAACAACAATGCAACATGTACATATTTGCGCCGTAGTATGAATACTTGCGTTATTGAATGAGGTAAGAAGGGTTGCGAAGTGAGTGAATGCATTGGTGGTTGCGATGATACCTATCGGAGAGGTGAATCCTTCTTTTCTCATTTTTCCATTTTCATTTTTGTGTGCATGTCTTGAATAGAACTTGCACAGAACTGTTGCATTTTGCAAGTAGAATATGAGAAGGCTTCAGTTCTCTTCTTGCAACTTTCATTCACTCTATCAAGACTACTGATTATCAGACATTTGGATACTTTTGGCAGAAGGTTTATCTTTCTTCCTTTTAGTTTTAGTTTTCTAGTACTTCTCCAAGATTCTTGAAAAGTAATTGTTTATACTTCAACATTTTGATAGGAAGATAAGAGTAGGCTTCTAATTACAACACTCATCAAAATGATACATTATTCACTCTACATAACCACAGTCTTATTTTCTGATAGAAGATAATTCAAAAGAACTTAATTACATATTATGTAAACTTCATGTTGTAAAATGATCGGTAAATTACAAAAACGAAAGCAAATTGAGATAGCATATAGTTTACAGCATGAAAAATATTTCCCTATATTGTAGTGTACGTAAGCGAAGAATTAGCACATAAAGTTATAGAATGTGGTGAAGGTTCACTTATGTGCGTTCATAAAATCATTTGTAAAAATCAAATTTCAGACTCAAGATGGTCGTGCTGATATGACCAATTTTGAGATGGATCTATTTGATACAAAGATAAATTCATATGCTCTGGAAAAGGTCTGTCATCATTTCTACACTAATAACATTTCTGATGTTCGAATAAGGACTTATTTATTCTTGACCGTCAGTTTGATTTCCTTGATTTTACTTATCAGTTATAGAAAATTTGTGCAACCTGTTGTGGTCAAATATCATATCTACACTTTCTGAATTATGTTTAGGTAGTTTGTACATCAAATTAATTTAGATTAAGCAATTGATTTAGATTTGTTTTTGTGTATTGCGCTTTATACAACTGAATCTGTAAGCTTTAATTAATAATGGGTCATGTTAATTCAGGAGGATAACTTAGTAATTGATTGCGCTCATGTTTACTTCCGATAATGAAGTCGTCTTTCAGGTTATGTTCAGGAATAAATCCTTTTGACTTTTTAGGAAGAAAGTGAACAGTGTTGTCAACATAGTATCATTAAACCAGCATGCGTTCCGGTATCGATTATATCATTATTTATTTTTTTAATTGTGTTTTTCCCATTATTCAATGAAGACGGCTTTGATACGGGATCTGTTCGTTACGACCGGAATGGTTATTGTACCGATCAATGCAGGCTTGTTTCTTTTTTTGAGGGTTGGGTTTTTGTATTTTTGATAAGTCCATCTCTAGTTGTTATGGAACTGCTAGTTAAGGGTGATTAGTAAATTAATAAAGGATTGTGAAAATGGACTACCGAATGGAAGATCACAATCAATTTGATCGCTTATCTAAGTAAAGCTTTAAAATACTAATGCTAAAGCATCTTTACCGATGAATTGGAAGAGCCATAGTGCATCAGAAGACTTCCTAATGAGAATTATTACTCTTTATTAATGCTAGTTTAGCTTCAGATCACTGGTAGTAGGTACTAATCATTTTGCTATAATTTCCAAACAATCAAGGAATAGTGAGCTTCTGAGTTATGATTATCAAACATCAGTTCGTATATTCTTTGACTCGACTTCCAACTGTGTTTGCATTCTTATTTAATTTTTAAAATCCGTTTTACTTCACTTCGTTTCTAGAGAAAAGAATGTTAAGGATATTTATTAATTGGCAGTCTACATTCTTAATCAGTTCAGAGTGCAGTTGGTTGAAACTATACCATCGATTTTGATTTTTGACAATAGTAGCCTTACGAGTTTATCAACATACGAAGTCTGGAAAAAATTGTTGGATGATGCACAAGTTTCAATTGATGTTGCGTCCTTCTATTGGAATCTCCGTGATCCTGTAGCACATTCGACTTCTTGGCAGGTAATTGCAATTGTGTACACCATACAGAAATTCCTGAAATACTCTGCAACTACTCGAGTTAATTAGAAATTTTTTCTGTTTCTTTTGTGCATAACTGAATTTTTCCATTGTCAAATAAATATCCATGATATTGCATTTAAGGGATCAAACACTTTCTTATCTCACATGACTTAGAAAATAGATTTCTTAGCATTGCAGGACTTTAAAAATATATGCTTATGTCCTACCAAATTACATAGGCATTGTTATACTTAACTTGGTAGGGGAAAGGGAATGATAAGGAAACGCGAGATCAAATGCTGGATTCTTTTATGTGATGACGAGATATTTAGGACACATAATGAGAGAATGGGTATTGTAAACAGTCCATAGAGCTGTACTTTACTATTGTTTGCGAATTTCTTGTTTTGCAGGGAAATGATACATTCGAAAGATTTATTGCATCTGCTGAGCGTGGTGTGCGGGTTAGCTGTTTTTCGTTTTCATGAACTGATGTTTTAATTTTATGCTTTTTGGAATAGTATTTTTTTCTTTCCACACTTTGGTAACTTTCAACATTTACTTCGTCTTTAATTATTGGAATCTGTATTAGTGAAAATAGCTCTTCCTATCTGTTATAGATACGAATAGCACAAAATCAACCAACCACAATATTTCCACAACTCGATTCGAAATATTTTGCTGAGAATGGTAAGACTTAAGTGCTCATCTGTACATTGACATTTTCGTTACAAACATTGGAAGCTTAACCATTGAATTTGGATTGCATCCAAAACTCCATATTCGTGATCTGCATTTCAAATATGTAAAATCTTTTTTCTTGCTTCAAATCCCTCGTTTATAAATCTTTATCCTTATAAAAAATCTGACACCATCTGGCCTGAATGAACGATATGTTCTCCATTACATGTAACAGTGACATGTCATAAAATTCCGATTAGAAAGTCAGAATAGGTAACATTTGCCGATAGTGTATACCAGTTGGTTAATAAAGGGAACAGTTATTGTATTAGTATTTCGAGATTTTCCTATGTGACTAAGTTGTCTGCTGCTTTGCGCACATTTCGCTATTATCATGAAATTGTCTGATGCGCACATTCCGCTGGTTATCACTCACTCTATATCATTGAATTGTTGAACAAATTCGGCAGTCTTCGTCTCTTTTTTGTGGGTTATGCAACTGTTCGGAATGTGGATATGGCGGAATTGATGGATGGTAATGGGATTCTTCATACCAAATTCTGGATTGTAGATTCTCGGCATGTTTACATTGGATCAGCTAATATGGATTGGAAATCTCTCACAGAGGTACATTGCTGTAATTTTAATAATATCCTTTGTCATTTGTGGTTATTTTAGTTCAAAGTCAAAAAATATGGTAATCTTCTATCTTGAACCTATTCAAGAAAGTAATGTTAACGATTCCGATAGAAAAATTTTTTTTTTCAGGTCAAAGAACTAGGCATTGTTATTTGGAATTGTACTTGCATAGCAAATGATTTATATAAAATTTTCAATATTTATTGGCGCCTCGGAGTTAGAGGAGCAAAAATTCCATATAAATGGCCATTGAATTTAAGAACTTATTTCAATTTTTCACATCCACTTAAACTTCTTAGTGCTAAAGACGCTAGTGTGTTCATATCGGTATGCTTTCTCATTGTCGTTCTGTTAACTGTTAAGTTATTCATCTTTAGTATGATATCGTCTCTTTTGAAAGAGACTTTAACTGCACTTTTGTTAGAATCATAAGAATGGCTCTAATCTTGCTTATTATCGTGAATCTTAATTGTATGCTTCCGCTTTTTTTTGAACTTTGTTTTAGAGTCTTAGGAACACGGTCTTACCAGCTTGTCTTTTGCTTATTTCTGTATAAAAAAAAAAATTTTTTTATTTGGGAAATTAATTTGCGAGAGAAGCAATTTTTATAACGAATAGTTCCATATTCAGAGTTCTCCTCCTCAATTCAATGCAAAAGGACGTGAAGATGATAGTGATGCAATCGTTGCAGTCATGGATAATGCACATGAATTTGTCCATATATCAGTGATGGATTATATGCCTGCAACTATTTATAGAACTTCTAATAATAACACGTTGGTTTCTAAGTTTTAACACTTATAGTTCTGCTTATCGATAATGAATTTTAGTTATGAAGCACATTATGGCAAGAGCCATTTTTGCATGCATTTGTATATCTGTTTACTCAAAACCGCTGCCACTCTCTTCCTTATTGAGAGTTTTGTAGTATCAACTTTTAATATATCTTTGTATAATGTAATGTTTGAATGAAGAATGAGTACAGTTCGCAATTCATCTAGAAGTTCTTCACAGAGAGAAAATTAACAAGTGAAATGAGAAGTAAATGTTAGGATTGTATGGAGGTGATTACTAGTTTAATTTTGATTTCAATGCTTTTCAATAGTAGTGAAAGAAAATTTTCTTTTTTTTTTGTGCAATTTCTTCTGTCTTTATCTGCTAGTAACGTGTAAAAGACAAAGTATTTTAAATTCAGTGATACTGAAGCAGTTATATTATAAATTAAATATGGATAATTCATCATTTGATATTAGTGAGGCACTTAATACTTTTACGGTGAAATTCTTATTGCTCGCACTCGTTCTATTTCGTAAATTTAATTTTGCAGATATTGGCCAAAGTTAGATAATGCAATACGTGCAACAGCTTATCGTGGAGTGAATGTTCGGTTACTGGTGAGCCACTGGAAATATTCCCGACCCGAAATGATTCATTTCTTGAAATCATTGCTAGAAATTAATGATGGTATACCTAGAAAAGCAAACCATTCTGGAAAAATCGAAGTAGTAAGCATATTTAGCAAAGTTATTAACTTTAAGTTTGTTTAGCTATATCTCCATTTTAGTTATAATTGGTTCGATTTGCACTTTACCAAAAAGAAATATGATTCTAGTTTCAGCATTGGGATCTGCATTTGTTGATGGTTAAATAGTTAAAGATCGCATCATCTTTTTTGAAATCTTTTTAAATCTTTTTGTGAAAGATTGCACTAATAATCCTTAGCTCTATTCCTTTAACGTATTTCTTCATTATTTCAAATTCAAAAAATTTTTCAGAAGCTATTTACTATTCCACTGGATCCATCCCGCGAAGAAATCCCGCACACTCTTGTTAATCATAATAAATTCATGGTTACGGAGAAGATCGCCTATTTTGGTTAGTTCCTTTAAATTGTTTATTTTGATGGTCCCTCCACTTGAATTGTATTTGAGAAAATTAGGTCATGTATGAATCAACTCTACAGTAACTTTTCAGGTACATCAAACTGGGCGGGCGACTACTTTATCAATACTGCTGGTGTTGGAATTTCTTTTACCTCGTCAACACATGTTAATTTGTTAAATGAGATTTTCTTGAGAGATTGGGCGTCCAAATACGCTAAAACTGTTAGGGAATTTTTATAAAATGGATTTCCTGCTTAGCTTTTTTTCTTACAATGAAACTTTCTATTCTATAGAAATCTAATTTTGTTAGTCTTATTCTATATATTTTGACATAAATCCTTCATAATTTCTAGAGCATTCTGTCGAAGCTGAAGGTATTTCTCTCAGAGCAGTTTTTTTTTTTTTTTTAAACTTTTTTTGAATTCTGGCACTTTGGTGATGTAAAGTGCATAGGATTCACTTCATCTTAATTTACTCAAAAAGTGTTAAAGTTTTTTTTTGCACGGAAGCTAATATTTAACATCTTTATAATTGGATTTTCAAATTTTCACATATCATTGAGATGTTCCTTATCGATCATCGTCTTGTATGATTTCACCACCGATTCACCATCGAAGTGAATTTAAATTTCACACTGTGTGGACCAAGGTGTCATACATGTATCTCATTAATGATCTCAACATTTTTTCGTTGTGTTGCATGGATACTATATCTCTTGTACATAATATCCCTGGCCACGTAGTCAGTTGTTATTAGCAGAGGAATATATTTATTGGAGGAGTATTATTAAATGTAAAGTTCCACAAATAAAAATTTTCTCACCTTTGCATAGAATTCAGATAAAGCTTGGGCAGTGGATTAATAAATCTTGGCTTAATCAGTAAACTGTCAAGAGATTTGTATGTTTTTTACAGATTTCAGAACGAGAAGCAAATTTTGGTAGTCACAATTGTTAGCAGGGAAGAATTTGCGTCAATTCTAAAAATTTCGGGTGGATTTTTCGGTGGGACGGATTGTTGACTTTCAGATTTTTTTCATCGATACAGATGTCGATTCTGGTAAATTTACTATACTTTGCTAATTATGGGTGAAACATTGCTTTGTTAAAATTCCAGGGATTTTTTGAAACGTTAAAATTGAGGGAGTACTCCCATGTACACACATAGCATTAACTGTTAATAAGAATATGGCGCAATGTCTTCATTATTCTCAACCATCCATTGAGTCGTGCCACGTTTTTGATTCCATTGATTAATATTTTTGGATTCCATTGAGATTATTCCATTGATTAATATCACGCTTTCTACAAGAAATAGGTAAATGAGCGATTTTTTTAATTTTGAAGCAAAAAGTTTTAGTTGCAGTATATTATCGTAATTAGAAAAAAGTGACTTGCCGTTGTATTCGTCTGTATCGGTTGTTTCCTATCGGACATGAATGATGACAACAAAATTGCCATGGTCTTAAATTCAGTTTTGGGATATTTACACAAGACTTGTAGGATTGAGGATATCTGCCGACAAACATGAAAACGTCATTCTAAAAAAAACCCGAAATGAACCAGAAACGTCGGAAAAAACTTTAAAAGGTTTTGAAAGGTGGTAAGTGTATTCCAGTGGTAACTATGGATAGATATCAGTTATCGGAATCATAAAAGTAGACATTCACTCCACAACCTAATGAGGATGAGTGGAACTACTGCTTTTCATTTATTTGTCTTGAACAACCGACTGATGCAATCCGGAATCTATTAATTCTAGAGCCTGCATGTTGTAATATGTAACTGCAGCTTAGTGACAAAGAAAATAATGGACAGGAAAAATGACTAAAGTATATGAATAGTGCTTACCTGTACATTAGTGATGTTATCAGCATTGTCACAAATAATTCGACCCAATGATACTTTTTTTATCTCTTCCCTTTGAGCTTCGTTGAATACACCCTCTTTTTCATACCTGGAAACTGCAGCTTACTTTTCTGTAATTCAATACTGAAGTAAATGATAAGATCCATGAAATTAAAGTCTATTTAAAAATTTAACGAACCAAAATCTATCACCATCACGTACGCGCCTAAACTGTTCAGCAATGATACATGAAAATGTTGGACCAATAAGTGCTCCATCGAGTCGTTCCTCCGCAATACCACCAGCGAACAAGTCGATATTGCCTAGTAAGTACAGAGACAATGTATTCTCCTGGTTAGATGCGCTGTTAATTAATTCTACCACCAATTACACAAATCTTTAGAAGAGGTTCTCATACACATTCACATATGACTCAAAAGTTTGCTTCTCTTAATTAATCAAATTCTCTATAATCATAAATAATAGAAGTTTCGACCTGGATGACCATATAAATCTTTCAACTTATAAATAACGTCACGTGGCATTATGTTCTTCAAATCATTCCAGTTTTCCACTGGTGATAGGTTACACCAACTTCGGAATTCAACGTACCTAAAAAAATATGAAAGTTCCTTTAAGGATATGGTTGTTAAGTATATCATTAAAATAGTTCATGTAAACATGACACAAAAGTGTAAATTTTTTGCTTCAGAATTACATTTTGGATGAATGAGAGCTCTCCTTACCCGGGAAGAGCGTGATCACGACCTCGTTGTATATTAATCGCAGCCAAATCCAATGAAACCTAACATAAAAAATTTTTGTTATAAAAATGAAAACTTTCTAAATATTGCTATTAAAATTCATAAGCTCCAATTCATAATTCCAAGAAATTAATAAGGTCATCATTAGAGTCAGTAAGACCAATCGAATGACTTTCTGCAGTTGTATAAAAATCATTTGTATTCCGTTTCTGTCTGGAATTTGAGGCTGTTCAACTTATCCCTCTTTTACTAGCTATATTCTTGTATTAAAGAGATTTGAAAAATCAAGTCCATAGATGAAGAGAACCAATTGACTTTCAGCTATACATTTTTAAATTAACACAAGTTATATAAAATAATTGCTAGACTTCAATGATAGCCTGGAAACGTCTATTTCAATATATTTTAAGCTAGGCTATAAGAAAATTAAAATTTTGTCTACTTCATGTGCTTGGTTGAATAAATTTTCAGTGAGTTCATCATTGAGCAACTCATTCGGTACTGGCTTTTTCATTGGTGTAGCAAATAAACCACGCAGATATGGATCAACACTTCCCGTTGACAATAGCATTTCCGGTGCAAAGAATGCATCTCTCAAAGGTATATGTCCTTCTCTAATTGGTGCTAATTTTTCGTCAAGTCTGAAACACGATTTAGAAAAGTTGGAAAACTTATCATTAATTGCAAAATGAGAACATATAATGGTCTAAATCTCCCGTTGACAATAACATTTCTTGTGCAAAGAATTCATTTATGCTTAATGTATACTGATACAGAAATGATTACATCGTGTCATCTTGATTGCTTGAAAATTATTGAGATTGAAAATATATAAATCCCGCCTTATTCAAATAAAATAAAAGTCCTATTCTAAGCCATCATTTACATTAATTAATATATACCTGTGAAGGACCGGATTGACCAGTGTATGTCCAAAGCGAAATGCTGCTGTGGCAAATGCGTTTGATATAGTAGCATCTAGCAATGGTTGATATCCTCTATATGGGCCAATTAGCTTATCAAACTGTTTCTAAAATGTCAAAGTTTGTTGATATAATCATTTGCTTACAAGTATCAGGCATTGTCAGGGTTTGGAGTGGTTTGTATTTCAGTTGCAAATTATGACAGAATCAGATCTTTCCAAACAAATTCAAATTTGACTTGATCCATATTTAAATTAATATGCCAAAAACAAACTTTCCCAAGAACTTTTGGTAACCAATAATGAAATGTAATATGCTGCAATTCAGCGCCAACAATTTTTCGAGTTTCGTGAAACACTGTTTCACCGTCCAAACCAGGATTTAAACTGGCAATTTCGATTGCCAATCTGTTGTGTTCTCGCATAAAAATTGTATGCATAGTTATTAATCCCAGCTGTAAAGAAATAATTTTATGAGGAATGGCAAACAATAAGGTAGGACTTAAAAACAATAATTTCCTTTCTAGACGAACACGAAAACCACTAATTGGTGAATATATTACTTGTATTTGTAATATGTTATTAACATTGTTTCCTTTAACCTGTTCATTAGCTCTAAAATCTCCAGCCAGAAAGCATCGTACTGGATAATCCAAAGTCCAGTTTCGTCGACAATCAATTGGTGAATCACGTTCAAAAGGCAGATAAGGCTTATTTGCAGATGATACCATATCATATCTGTTTGAACTTTTTTTTTTTTTTTTTTTTGCATAAAAGATATAAATTAGCAAAGTCCTTTTTAAAATGTGAAACAAGAATGAAAAATGACAACCTACTGAACAAGAAAATATGATTAATGCAAATACTTATTTTCATTTACAAAGTTCGAATATAACTCTGCTGTTTCTTCATTTTGTTTTTTGTTTTTAGTCCAAGTACCCTAAGGTATTTTAGATTTCCAGTCTCGACCAAATAAAAGTGTCCAAATAATTCAAAAGAAAAAGAAAGCAAATGATAATATGAAAACAATCATCTACTACCTCAGTAAGCCTTGGTCCGGACTCAAATTACGTAAATCATACGCATCTTCCTCTGTGCTACCGTATATCCCCGAAGCGTCAATGTAACTTGTAATCTGCAATATGCCGCTCTCAGTAAATTTCTAATAACGGTTTTGCTGAGTTAAAAAAAGGAACTTACAGTGTTCATTTGTTCACGATAAGTAACATGACGGTAAATAAGTGATGTTTCACCGGAACCGCATATTGCACTCGAACGCTCAAATTCAATACAGGGATATTGCGGACTGGAAAAAGATTCTGATGGACCAATCGCTAGTAGTGCTAAACATCGTTGTTGGCAAATATATTTTGTCCAAATTTTTGTCCACTTATGTGACTATTGGAGATGGTAAGAAAATTTTAATCCGTCTCTTTTTTTTTTGTAGTAATTTGTTTTTGACAAACTTCGAAAGCATTCTTGGATCATCATACGTCAGCGGTATATTGAAACACGGGTTGAGGTGCTGGCAGGTTCGATTACAAATAGCACCCGTAGCAAATGCTTGGCGACTAATTGCTGTTGCAGTGAAGTCCAAATCATGATCTGAATTTTTTTTTCTTGCAAGTAGACCAATTCTAAATCCTTGGATTCGAATTTCTAGTTTAAAAAATTAATCTTTCTAGAATTACCAATAAATTGCCCCCAT